AGACGTAACAGTATTTTAAGATTGCAAAATGTTCTTGTTTAGGAATACACTGTAATTACCAAAACATATACAGAAAAAGAAAATAGATAAAGATAAAGTACAACTTCTATTAGCTATATAATAGTAATAACTGTGAACTAATTACACATCTCTAGTGAACTTACCCCGATGATAGTAATAACTGTGAACTAATTACACATCTCTAATGAATTACCCCGATGATAGTAATAACTGTGAACTAATTACACATCTCTAATGAACTTACCCCGATGATAGTAATAACTGTGAACTAATTACACATCGCTAATGAACTTACCCCGATGATAGTAATAACTGTGAACTAATTACACATCTCTAATGAACTTACCCCGAACAACTGTCTGAGATCAGAATCTCTGAAACGGAATGGGATGTTGCTAATGTGGAGACGTTTGGGCTGGCTTGACTTGGAAGTATCAACTCCAGTTGTTACTGTCTGGGTTCCCACCTGTCCTGACAACTCTAGATCTAAATCTGTTTGCTGAAATAAGAAAGAACTCAATAATAATACCACACAACTTTATCATAAAGAGTACATGTATATTGTTTCTATAATACACGTAACTTATAAAAACAAGCAAGCTATAAGTGTATGATTCTCAAGTTCACTTTAAATCTACAATATGTTTTTTAAAGAGGATCATTTGATTAATGGCTGAAATTTCTATTCTTATATGTCAGATAGGGATAAAAAAATTGCAGAAAGTCTTGATACACTATTTCAATATATGAATCAAATTCATAAAAACAATCACACTTAGATCTTAGTAAAGAGAAGGCTGATGCTCTTGTACTTCTTACTTTACTTAGAAGAGCATTGACTAATTACTTCTCTTCACCAAGAGCTATAATACAACATTGAAAATGGTGGAGGGGCTGGTGTTATCAATTACAAAGACAAGCTCCTTTCAGAACTAGTCACAGAAAGGGGAAAGCCCGTGAGGTGTGACTTCCACGAGACCAGAGGTCATGTAATGGAGCAGCATCTGGCAGGAGATCACATCCTCTTCAAGTAGGGAATACCTTTTACCTAACTTGTTAGATATTCATTCATATTTTACATTTACATCCCAGCGAGATTTAAACTAAAGGGTATTGAGTAAATTCAGTGTTAATGGAAACAAGAAAATGTGTAGTTTGTTTAGGACATTAGGCCATTCCATCTTAGAGAAATACTTACAAAATAGATTATGTAATGTAGATTCTGTAAGTTGAGTGAGGAGGAGCTCTCACTTGTGTCCTAAGGCAAATCAAAGTCCAATCTGTCTGGACATATCAACCAGGAACTGTTTGGGAGATATTGTAATCGGGTGTCCTGTACAGCACTTCCGAGAAACACCCCAGCACTACATCTAAAACTAGGGAAGTAAAGATTCTTCTTTGGTCTACTAGAAGAATAGGGAAGGAAGAATACACATTGGTGAGAACAGTGAAGAGTTTTTGTGGACCGCTGTCATCTGGCATAATAATCAAGAACTTGGTCCCCATTGAGAGACAGTGCCATAGGTTACTAAGTCTAAAGACAGCAAGTGTGAACCATGTGTAAGAACAGGACTACACTTGGTGTTGTCTGTGTTTTTGTAAGAGGTGTGGAAACAACCACATCAGTTTTTGATGTATACAGCCAAGGCAGTCTTCCAGAAAAACAAAACAAAAAACATCTCAATGGTGGGCACTGAGCAGGGGTAGATGAATTTAACATTTTCCATTTTCCCCTGCTTGATGAAGATTTTGGATACATATTCCCCGTGAAGCAATGTTGAGTATTTGTAGGTTCCGGTGGCACCAAGAATAAGGAAAATATAGTGTAGTTCTTCAAATAATGTTTGATCTGGTAAGTCTTGCTTCCTCCTGGTCAGTTTATGTTTTTTTTTGTTAAGGAAATTACAATGTGTTAGAATATATACAAAAATTATGGTACGCAAATGAAGGTGTCATGAAATGTATGAATGACATGGAAGTGACCAATAAACACAATAGGCACAACCCATTAAACTAGAGCCTCTGGATAAAAATGTATGAATGACATAGAAGTGACCAATAAACACAATAGACACAATCCATTACACTAGAGCCTCTGGATAGAAATGTATGAATGACATGGAAGTGACCAATAAACACAATAGACATGACGATGAACACAAATCTTGAGAGACAAATGATACAAGGAGTAGCAGGCCAAAGGCTTAAAGGGTGCAATAAGATTCAGAAAAACTACAAAAAGGTCCCAGAAGGGGGAGGGACTGGAAATAGCAGGGGGTAAAAGTAAGGTATTATTACCTGGCAGAGGCAGAAGGTTGTGGACAATGAACCATGGTAATCTGCATTTAATGGAACAGGGATTAGATTAAAAGCCAGGTAAATAAGGAAGAAAGTTGTGGCTGAGTAGGGCAACCAGTCTGAAGATAGTGGTGGTAGACAACCCATGTATGTTAATAGAGGGTGGAAGTAGAAGACATGAGTGAGAGAGACTACTCTGAAAGAAAATCCTCAAGGGCCAGATAAATTCCATGAATGGAGGTGAAGGCATGATACCCTTTCACGAAGTATAGATGACAAAGGTCGACTGAGGAGAGACCTCCAAAGTAGAAGTCCCAAATGCATCGATCTGAGGGGTTCCAAAATGAGAACAAATTCAGTGAAAAACTGTAGTATCACTCTGTGGGATGGATCACTTCAACAACAGAAGGGTCTGCCACCAGATACAAACTCCAAGAACATGATATGTCATAAGGTGAATACAATGATTGTAGGTCCAAGAAAGGAAGTACAGAGTGAGAAAGCACAGGTCCCAAGAGTGAGCACCTTCCTGAAAGTTGATTGAAGTAATAAACATAGAGTTGTCTGAGTGTATCATCACAAGATGGCCAAACAACTTCGACTCAAGAAAAATGCAAGCCAGATAAGATGCAGTCATCTCCAAAAGTTGATATGCAGAAAATACTCTTTTAGAGACAAGACCTCCGAGAGAATGGTGGCATTGAGAACAGTCTCTCAATCACAAAGAGAGGCATTTTTGTAAAGATGCAAGTCAGGCTGAGGGGAATGGGTGGTATATGAGGAGATGTGCTGGTGCAATTGAGTCACTACAACAGAGAGATGTAAAGAGGTAGATAGAGAAACAAATGAAGAAAAGGAAATGTGGGACATGTTCCAATGGTTCTCCAGAACCCCCTGAAAAGTGACCAAGTGTACACAGCCGATAGGAATCGTGGCTCCTAGGGAAGTAAGGTCTTCTAATACAAGAAATAAGTACCTTGGATACCAAAGTACTTATGTCACAAATAGGCAAAGGAGAGGGTTGAGCCTACCTTATGCAGGAGCAGGAAAATCAACATGTGGACAAGAAACTGAGTGTAGATCAAAATGGACTTGGAATGTTAGACCTGCCAGCACAGAGAAAAGGCCTCCCCCCAAAAAGGAGGACATAACAATTGCTAATTCCTTTTGAAACAAGGCCAGAAAAAGCCCGATAGCCAAATAAATGAATGTCCAGAAAATGCATGCGCTGAGAAAAGGAACATATGATCCAGCTGAAAACATAAGGGGCCATAGCTAGGCCAAAGGGAAGGGTATGGAACTAACCGACACGATCATTGAGGACAAACCAGAGAAATGAATGGACACAGGACATATGGGAATGTGAAGGAAAGCATTTGAAATTTTAACCTTGGTTAAGCATGGCCAGAAAAAGAGACGGCTGCCCACTGTAGACTGAGAAAGTCATACATCTGGAATGAAGGAACAAGAAAGTGATTCAAAAATGACAAGTTGATGATAAGGTACCAAACCACAGACTTCATGGGGATGACAAAAAATGAGAATGAAAGTCCTGAGTGGGGTGGGAGACAGGTTTTATAACTCCTGCTGCCAGAAGGAGGACACAACGTTCAGAAGATGATGAAGGTACAGAGGATCAGTGAGAAGAGGATTAGTGGCAGACAGCGGTATCTGTGAATCAGAAAATCAATTAAACAATAGAAGGTTGTGGGCAAGCAGCCTAAACTTGGGATTTTAAGTAGCTGGAAACGCCCCAAAGACCAGGTTGGTAAGCAAATGGGAGAGACAAAGATATAAGAGGAAGGAACTTTGACACCCAACTGAGGGAAACACCCTAAAATAAATAAAACAGGTTAAGATAGAGACAGAAGATAAATAAATGGGAACAAAAGTAAGAAACAGAGAATAATAGGTGTCTCCACTAAAATTATTCAGTTCGTAATGAAAAGACTCAGTGAGGAGGTAAAAGTTGGTGATAGAATAAAGGAGTAGGGTAAAGACAGAAAAAATTAACAGATACCTGGAAAGAAAGATAAAGAAGGAGAAAAAGAACTGCCGCAAGCAGAAGAGAAGACACAAGAGATTGATGATCAAGAAATATAAAAGGGCCGTGACCTGAGGCTTGATTCGAATTATAAATGTGTTGTATAGATACATTTCTGATGTAATGATATATAGGCCTAAGACTGGTGATCAAGACCTCATTTGAAGTACCATTTGCAGTTTTGGTTCCATTACCACAGGAAAGAGATGGGTAACTAGAATTATGTATTATTTTCAAAAAGGAATTAACTTAGAAGCTTACAGTTGTGAACTGTTGTTACAGTTTTCTATAGCTTGATGCATGTTTTTTTTTGGGATTAGGGACACGGATTAGTTGTCTGCATGTTTTAGCAATGTAAAGATAAGGTTGGGGATTACAAGGGTGGGGAGTATGATTATCAAAACTTATGCCCACTGTACTTAGGTTATGACAGTGATAAAACAAAGAGCAAAAACAAAACTTTAGATAAATAAAACCAAGGTTTAGAAAATACATATCTATCAATTTACCATAATGTACAGTCTCCACCAACAGCAGGAAAGTTAGCAGGGGCGTAGCCAGGAGGAGGGGTCAAACCACCACCCAATTAGTTTAAAGAGTCCACTATCTTATTTTTTTTAAATAAACATTTGACTTTCTTGTGAATTACTTATATTATTTATGTAAAAGAAAAGGTCCAAATATATTTGAAAAAGACCCCCTACCCACTCTGTAGCGGTGGCTATGTCCCTGGTTAGATAGATTTTTGAAAATCCAAACTATTTATTCAGGCCTTCCTATATTTCTAAATTCCAAATAACTCTACCACACGTTGAAACGAACTTGACAATGGCAGAGGACAAAATTTCCATCATATGATCCAATCACATTTGGATACTTTGATTTTCAGAACGTCTCTTCTCGAATACCTAAAAATATAACATATGAAAGAATTGTGTTTACCTCTCAGGGAAAATTCCAGTGACTTAACAGAAACGTTCGGAAAATGAAATCTAATGCACCTGGCCAGACGAAGACACAAACAATTTTGCCGCTAATACAATGAATTTACCATATTATACGTGCATAGTTCATCAATCCTGTTTTACATTTTGTTTTCAAAAATTGAAAATTTTTAGTTTTTTTTTTGCTATGTCACAAAATTAGAAAATTGAAAAATTGACACAGCGATTGGAAATGACCATTTTCCCTGTTTTTGTAAGACAGGAAATTGAAACATTGGTGCAACTAGAAATTATTTTATTTATTCTTCATTAAAATACGGCCCGGCATGGCCAGGTGGTTAGGGCGCTCGACTCGCAATCTGCGGGTCGCGGGTTCGAATCCCCGTCACACCAAACATGCTCTCCCTTTCAGCCGTGGGGGCGTTATAATGTGACGGTCAATCCCACTATTCGTTGGTAAAAGAGTAGCCCAAGAGTTGGCGGTGGGTGGTCTTACACTGCTAAAGTAGCTTTACGTGAAATTCAAAAACAAACAAACAAATACTGACCAGCAGACATACCTAAATACTGAAAATTTCACATCGGTCCACCGAACTCACAGGGTGGGCCAGTATTTCTGATGTCGACTAAGGTTCTAGTGAAATCATAACATGGCCATCGTTGATTTGAACATACGGGCCTACTTATGTGGGTTACAGGAATGACGTTGTAATTTCATTACGTGTTTCTTCCGTGATAAGGTAAAGAAATGTGTTTATTAGTTGCCAGGCTATCGAGCGTGTTCTAGCAACTGATATTCATAGTAGGACCACAAATAGCCCTTATGAGGACCCATCCACAATACGTTCAGTTTGGAGCATCGCGCCATTAGTTGATGTGAGCACCACTCTACACAATGGTCTGTTCATCGCGGAGAATCGAACCCAGAATTTAAAAAAATATATTTAATATTTAAAAGATCTTATATATATACAAATTATATTATTAATGACCATCGAGAAGATGAGTGCATGATACAAAATACAAACAATACGGTAGCAGAAACAAATTACGATAACAGAAACCAATAAATAGTAACGTTTTTCACTGATGACGTGGACTAAAAACCTCAATAACTCTGTAAACGTGGGAGTCGATACTGAATAAGATAAGTCTGAGGGATAAATTGTTTTTATACGCGTTAAGTATAAGCCATACATTAGGGTCAGAGCAGGAACGGAAGAGATCACGTTCTGTAGAGGTATTACTGGAGAAAATATTGTGCTTGTTTCGTTAAGCCTCTTAATGTTCGTTGGAGGTATATGGTCGAGTTTAGCTAAACGATAATCCGAAGATTAAGTTTTGTGGTGAACCCAAACATACAAGGTAAGCCTTGGATTAACTGATTTATTTTTTGTTTTAGAATTTTAGTGCAAAGCTACAACACAGAAAGCTATTGGTGTGTATAGCCGTTCCTAAGTGACAGTAAACAGTTTCCACGGGACCAAAGTTGCGAAGTGTGTTTTTGGCAACAGGTCGCGAACCACGAGCCCTCGAATTCACAGTCCGAGCACGCTAACCGTTAAGCTACGTAATGATTGAAGATTCGATGGATTTCACCAGTGAGATTGCCGTTATTTAGTAAAGTGTTTAGAAAATATGATGGATAATTCTACATTCATGGGCAAGACCAAAGTAATTAAAAACGAACATTTTCAACGTCCGCCATTGTCCAACACCTAATGGTCATCTATAGAACGGTCAATCACCCCTAAAATAACGTATGATACTTCAAGGGGGCACTTTGATACATTTTCCATGATTCCTCAACCCTGGTCCATTTCCTTCATTTCTCAAGAAGCGATATAAATTTTAACTTATGGTTTTAAATAGTTCTGGTAATTACTTATTTCTTATGTTTTAAGATAGTTCGGTTAACTACTTATTTCTTACGTTTTTAAATAGTTCGGTTAACTATTTATTTCTTATGTTTTTAAATAGTTCTGGTAACTACTTATTTCTTACGTTTTTAAATAGTTCTGGTAACTACTTATTTCTTATGTTTTTAAATAGTTCGGTTAACTACTTATTTCTTATGGTTTCAAATAGTTCGGATAACTACTAATTTCTTATGTTTTTAAATAGTTCTGGTAACTACTTATTTCTTACGTTTTTAAATAGTTCGGTTAACTACTTATTTCTTATGGTTTCAAATAGTTCGGATAACTACTAATTTCTTATGTTTTTAAATAGTTCTGGTAACTACTTATTTCTTACGTTTTTAAATAGTTCGGTTAACTACTTATTTCTTATGGTTTCAAATAGTTCGGATAACTACTAATTTCTTATGTTTTTAAATAGTTCGGGTAACTACTTAATTCTTATGGTTTCAAATAGTTCGGATAACTACTAATTTCTTATGTTTTTAAATAGTTCGGTTAACTACTTATTTCATATGGTTTCAAATAGTTCGGATAAATACTAATTTCTTATGTTTTTAAATAGATCGGGTAACTACTTATTTCTTATGTTTTTAAATAGTTCGGATAAATACTAATTTCTTATGTTTTTAAATAGTTCAGGTAACTACTTATTTCTTATGGTTTCAAATAGTTCTGGTAACTACTTATTTCTTATGGTTTCAAATAGTTCGGTAACTACTTATTTCTTATGGTTTCAAATAGTTCTGGTAACTACTTATTTCTTATGGTTTCAAATAGTTCTGGTAACTACTTATTTCTTATGGTTTCAAATAGTTCTGGTAACTACTTATTACTTATGTTTTTAATAGTTCTGGTAACTACTTATTCCTTATGTTTTTAAATAGGTCTGTAACTAGCCCAGCATGGCCAGGTGGTTAGGGCACTCGACTCGCAATCTGAGGGTCGCGGGTTCGAATCCCCGTCACACCAAACATGCTCGCCCTTTCAGCCGTGGGGCGTTATAATGTTACGGTCAATCCCACTATTCCTTGGTAAAAGAGTAGCCCAAGCGTTAAATAGCCCTAGTGTAGCTTTGCGCGAAATTCAAAAACAAACAAACAATTCGTGTAACTACTTATGTTTAGTTTCTTTCACTCTCTTTTCTCGAAAACATTGTTTTCCACTTTTACACTGCACGAACACGACGCAGTTATTTTCATTTTACAAATTAGTTTTCAATTTTTACTTTATAACCTGAACCTTGGAAGGTTTGAGTTTCTGCTGCCTTGTTTTATTTCTATATATTTCTTAATATTCATGATAATTTACCGTTTGTTGTTCAATACCATTGGTGGTCACTATGGGAGTGTTAAAAGTGTCTTTTCGGTCACTTCGTTGTTGACCAACAGCCTGGTCACCATTCTGTGGGTATGGACCGTAAGAGGTGGTCAGTTGGGAGTGGACCATCTGCGAAAAAAAAAGAAATGTTTATGTAATACAGACAATGAAATAAAAGATAACGCGTACACAAACAACGCATACGCAAGCACACTACACAACATCCATAAGTAGTACTGAAAATAAATATACGTTACGTAGCGAAGGTAAACAACATATCTGTGCTGGAGAAATGTGACATGCCTGACATCTCAAGTTGATTATATTTAAGTCGTGTATTTCTGAACAGGTTTACAATTTAAAGGTAGACAAAGAATCAATTGTTGTGCTCATGAAAATTTACAGCAATAAAAAGCGTTAAATGTAGCGTATAATACGTTAAAATCTTAGTGAAACAATGTATTAGTTTTTAGGCCCACAATATTCTGGATAGAAAGGGTTCCAATACTTAAAAGATAAAGTAGAACTTAAGCATGAAATACTTCGTGCATCTTGTAATTTGTTTGACAGCAGACGTATTTTGTAATCTGTTTGACAGCGGACGTATATTGTAATCTCTTTAAAGCATAGTTCGTGACGAATGTTCGTTTGTTTTTAAAATTTCCGCGCAAGACTACGCAGACGACAATTTGTGCATAGCCGTTCTTTATTTTGAGGTGATACACTATTCAACAGCACCAACCGCCAACTGTTGGGCTACTTTGTTTTTTGTCTGACAGAATAGTGGGACTTGACCGTCACTCTAATAGCACACACACACACTGCCCCCAAGTGCGCAATGCGTTTTTGCGGCGAAAGGTCGAGAACCATGAACCTCGGTTCACATTCCTAACACGTTGACCATTATAATACAGGATATTCTCTAGAATTTTGATTTTCTCAACACCGAAACCATTTAGAATCATAAACTGGAAGAGTAAGATACTTCATTTATCAAAATGCTTAACAGAAATAATGGGTTCAATATTTTACAATAGCATGAGTTGTGACTTGTTCTAAGTTTTATAACATGCTTTAGTGTTTTGTATAACATTTTGTTTTGTTATGTTTACACATATTTGTTACAAAGTTGACCGAGAGCGGACACTACTGCAGCTGACTAGATGATAATATAATTTATAGGTTTGGAAACTCGTACAGAAATTAAGCAAAAAATACAGATCTCAAAACAACTGGGTGAACACTGTGAAAAAAAGGGAGAAAATATGATACAGACCAATAATGTAATCATAGAAATGACACTGACCAATAAGGTAATAACAGAAATGACACAGACTAATAAGGCAATCATAGGAATGACACTGACCAATAAGGTAATAACAGAAATGACACAGACCAATAAGGTTGTCACACATATGACACTGACCAATAAGGTAATCACACACATATGACACACACCAATAAAGTAATCACACATATGACACAAACCAATAAGGTAATCACAGAAATGAAACTGACCAATAAGATAATCACAGAAACGACACTGACCAATAAGATAATCACAGAAATGACATAAACCAATAAGATAATCACAGAAAGTACCTGATCTTGTTTGCTAGTTACATCACAAATATATACCAACGCTACATTGTGGAATTAAAAACCTAGTCTACTTAGCTCTAATTAATATAAGGTGTCAGTACGAGAGAGAAGTTTCTCCGAGGAAGTAATTATGAACAGACTTTCTGTTGGTTTGTTTATTGTGTAGTGGAAAGCTGTGTCCATCAAGGGTATAGTAACCCGGTTTTTAGAGCTATAAGCCTTCAGACTTACCGCCGAACCACTGGGGGCGATTTTCTGTCAAAAGAAGAAATAAAATAATTTCCTGTATCAACATTATAATTCCCCTGATCATACTATCGGAGACTTTCTAGCTCGACCAATATGTCAAATGTAATGATCCACTAGTTAAAGTCAAACTGAAAGAAAGAAAAACGGATGACCAGATTTATCACAATTTATACACTTGGACCGAATGACAGCGTTAAAAATGGGGGTAACATTTCTGCAAGTTTCTACTAATTCTTAGTTTTCTCAACTTATTGTCTTTACTGTACGCATTATGAAAATACGGTGAGGTTTTTTTTCTTTGAATTTCGTGTTTACATAGGTGTACTGCACAAAAAATACATTTTGTTAAATTATAAATCACTATTTCATGTAGAAGTAACAGAATTCAGTTGAGGAATCAACAAAAATAATCCTGTAGTTTATTTAAACTGTTACCTGGAAGTAAAAGTACGTGTATTGACAAAACAACAATAACATAGGTTTGTTAACTGTATGTTACAATGTTAAACGTCATCCATGTACTTAGGGTAATAAAACTGATGAGTAATACTAGAAGAATCACTTCTAATATATATGAAACAAATACTAGAGGAATCACTTCTAATATATATGAAACAAATACTAGAGGAATCACTTCTAATATATGAAACAAATACTAGAGGAATCACTTCTAATATATGAAACAAATACTAGAGGAATCACTTCTAATATATAAAACAAATACTAGAGG